TTTTCTACTATCAGCTGCTAATTCATGTTATACAAATAAACTTGCCCATTTTGCCCCATTTACAGCGTGTGCTTTCAACAGAAAATACTAATTTGAGCCTTATAATAATGAAATCCCCAATCTCTTCCCTATCCACAGATTCTGGTGGGAAGGTGAAACTATGGCACGTCTCATCCCGCACTTGTGTGCGCACATTAACAGAGGCCCGCCAGACAATGATAGCCTCCTTCAACCCTTCAGGTTCCAGGTTCCTCACAGCTGGATCAGGGCTTGGGATTAACATGTATGATACTCAGACCTGGAATAAAACTGGAACCTACGAACCAAGGTAAGCTGGAGAAAGCAGGACATCTGGTAGCAGTTGGAGTGTGTGTGTGTGTGAGAGAGAGAGAGAGAGAGAGAGAGAAACTAACTAGACAAGCGTTCTTAAACCTGGAGGTCGGGACCCCTGGGCAGGGTCGCGAGGGGGGTGTCAGAGAGGTCGTCAAAGACCATCAGAAAACACAGAATTTTCTGTTGGTCATGGGGGTTCTGTGTGGGAAGTTTGGCCCAATTCTATAATTGGTGGGGTTCAGAATTATTGGGGTTCAGCCTGCGTGTGAACCTGAACCTGATTTTCTGATTGTATTTCCTGATGCAACTGAACAGGCTACTGAACATGTATTTTCCCCTGATGGTTTGGAAACTGTTGATTCTGAGGTCAGCGGCTTGGAAAGTGAAACTACACATCCTGATGAGAATGTTTCAGAATCAAGCGGTGATAACTCTCCAGAGGAGCTAGCACCTGCCTTTTTTAATGAGGATAGAAAGGGACAGATTTGGAAAAACAGGAGTGAATCACAGAGTCTGCGAAGGTCAAGCAGATTAAGGGAAAGGGAGGCACAGGCTTCAAAGCCTGGAGGCGTGTCCCGAAACAGTTTCTTTAGTTTTAAGTGTCTCTCCCCTGGCTCTCTTGTTAGATCAAGCATAGTTTAGACTGAGGCATTACCTTGGCAGGTTTCCCATTTCCCATGGCCTGCATTTCCAGAGGCTTCTAGTATCCAAGTACGGTTAGTGAAATGCTAACAGGTTCCAGGTTTTTATGGTGTTGCTTTTGGAATTTTGATCTAGTTCAGAGATATTCCTGTCTGCTGAGTTTTACTGTGGCTTTTTGACTTTGTATTTTCCTCTATTTTGTAACCATTTTTCATCAATCAAAAAGGATTGTTTTTTTCCCAAAGTCAAGTGTGGTGGATTAATCTTATGGTCTCATTTCCTGATCTGGGTTGCAACAAGAATGCTCTTTGGTTGTAGGTGAACTATAAATCCCGGCAACTACAACTCCCAAATGTCAAAGTCTATTCCCCCCCCCCCCCCAAACTCCACCAGTGTTCACATTTGGCCATACTGAGTACTCATACCAAGTTTGGTCCAGATCCATTATTGTTTGAGTCCACAGTGCTCTCCGGATATAAGTGAACTACAACTCCAAAACTCAAGGTCAGTGCCCACCAAACCCTTCCACTATTTTCTGCTGGTCATGGGAGATCTATGTGCCAAGTTTGATTCAATTCCATCATTGGTGGAGTTCAGAATGCTCATTGATTGTAAGTGAACTATAAATCCCAGCAACTTCAACTCCCAAATGACAAAATCAATGCCACCTAACCCCTCCAGTATTCAAATTTGGGCGTATCGGGTTTTTGTGTCAACTTTAGTCCAGTGAATGAAAATACATCCTGCATATCAGATAGTTACATTACGATTCATAACAGTAGCAAAATTACTGTTATGAAGTAGCAATGAAAATAATGTTATGGTTGGGAGTCACCACAACATGAGGAACTGTATTAAGGGCTCGCAGCATTAGGAAGGTTGAGAAACACTGAAATAGACTGAATTTCGTAGGAGATGCTGTGGCTGTCTTTTTGTGCTTTAACCATCCACATCCTTCTCCTTCCAGTGATTCTCCAAGTTTGATGGACGGGCACATGTACCGAGTCTATTCTGTGGCCTTCTTTCCAGAAAATGACAATCGCTTTATCTCTGGAGGATGGGATGACACTGTTCAGGTAATGAAGGGATACATCTATGGGCACAGAGCTAAAATGAAGGCAAATAACAAAAAACAACAACAGTAAAAACATTAGGGGTTTGAAGAGAGTCAGTAAACATTTCCTAGGTCAGATGCAGAAGGTGGAAGCCAAGAAGTTTATCACAAGAGGCAGGCAATTGCAATTACAGCAGGACAACGGTCTGTTTGATTTGGCTTATCACATGCTGTTGTTCCATTCCCTCTCCTCCATTGGAAGGAGTTTCCTTTATAGAAGGAGGCCATTAATGGATTATTTGTGTCTGTAAAAGAACCACTTTCCAGGTTGTTTCCACCAAGCTGTACTACTATAATTGTAGAAGTTGTAATTTCTCTGCCTCATGTGATAAAGTCCCAAGTATCTGTAAGGAAGGTCAGACAGTTCTAAGACCAGATCTAAGATCTTCATCCTCATAGGGCTTCTTTCAA